TATTTTCTTCGTGGGCCCCAGACTGAGGGTGTGCGCTGGTGGCTACATCGAGCAACTCGAGGAGAATATCTTCATGTCGTCGCCCGTACCTTCTTGGAAACTTTGTACTGCTACAGGATTGGGTGACAACACATTTAATCGAAGGGCGTTGGAAAAACTTTCGCCTACTTGGAATGGAAGAACGTTGAGTACCTGGAAAAGATGGAGTATTTAAGCGGGGGTCCTGAACTAAACCCCCTCAATTACTCGGTTCGGGCGGAGCTCAACAGGGTGGTCTACAGTGGCGGAGAAATCAACGATCTCGCTCAACTCCGGTACCCACTCACTTTCGCGCGGCCGAATCTCTCGATGGCGCTCCTCCAGAAGGCTGTGGCGGAGTATCATTATAGTATTTAATGTGCTCTTTAATATGGTAGTAAAAATGTCCGATAAAAATTTAATAAAGTGTAACTTATAGCGCCTTGAAAGTCATGGAGGCAAAATGACTTTTTTTTGGCCCCCCTGTATATATTTCGCTGGGTGTGCGTGCGTGCGTGTATGCATGTGTATCGGAGTTGGTTCCAGCAGACGACATAGAGATAGTGATGGGGACATCAACGGAGGATGACAAAAAGCCATAAAAACTGATAGGGGCCGATAAGAGACTATAGGTGGTGGTCGTTGTTCACGGTGGCTTTCAAAGTGTTAAGTACCGAATTACGAAATTTTTGTGACAGGGACAATGATGACGGGTGGCAAATAATCAAATCAATTGATAAGAGTAGATAGAACCATCTTCAACACATTGCTTACCACTTCTTACCGTTAAATCCCAGGTAATTAGAGGTTGTGCATGTGTGAATTTTTTCTTTCGCTGTAACGGAATGTCGGACATCCAGTGAGTATACAGTCCTCATCATTACGTACTGTCGGGGCGGTTCAGTGCGGCTGCGTTTGGCGCGGGGCCAAAGTCGTTCTGCACCAGTTGTTGAAGCGGCAAGTGACATTACTGTATTATATCCTCCGTTTCAATAAAAAGGCTGAGAACGGCTTCAACAGTGTGCACACTCATACTGGCTGACACGCCCCACCGGTCCGCAATGATGAGGACTGTATATGAACTCAGGTTAACGCAGTGCTGTCGAGCAGGCAGGAGGGGCTCATTCTGGTGTGAAACGGGAAAATCGAGGAATTCGTAACAATCAGAAAAAGCGTTCCGTTGATGTGTTGATGTGTCGGGAGACGATGGTTGAAATCAAGAGCAAGTAGTCGGCAGAAGCGTATTAAACGGCTAAACCTTTTCATCATGACGTAAACTGTTTCAGATTGCTCGAGAGGCTCTGATCCATTACCCGTCAGTGGCCGTCACTCAACATTTGCAGCTCAAGAGTTTTTTCAGTAAGCCTCTTCAGTAGGACTTCCAGTTTCTTTCAACAAAATCTTTTTCAGTCCCAGTATATATGGGTATTGCCCCATAGATTTTCCAGTGTCCAGTGTTCGTCAAAAAACTTTTTTTCAGAAATTACAGGACCTTACCGTTTCATTCGTGATATATACCCCCTAGAAAACAGTATTCGGAATTTTCTATAGGATACCCTCCGTAGTGTTGAGGACTTGCAGAGTGAACTATCGCAGGGGACCCTAACCGTTTGATACACAATATACTGCTTACGGGTGTCTCTCTCTCAATTCATCTACCTACCCGCTGCTCAGTTTCACTCATATTCCCCGTTTCCTGGTCTGCTCCGGATGCGTTTTGAGGATTTTTATCCTCGGCTTTGTCCACTTCGGCGAACGCCCCGCCCATTGTGGGCGGAGCTTAGGTGAGCTTGTGTGTGCTCTGCAAATGCTGGCCCATGCCACTCTATCCCAAGCACAATCAGTTCCCTTGAAGTGAATTTCATTAAAATCCCCATTTCAAGCGGTTAGACAGACGTACAGACAGACAAAAAACTTCTGGTTTATATATAGAACGACAGAGAAGCCTGTGGGTAGACTGTCTTGAAGTTGACCTTTGGGCGGTGTGTGGTATGTCGAAGCCGGAAAATCAGTGAGTGAACCACGGCAATCAAGGGTTGAGGATTTTTATCGAGGCCGCACGACCCACCCCC